ACTTAAAAAAGTCACTGAAATATTTAAAAAATTTTAAATAATTTTTTATTTTTTTTATTACATTTAATTAAGTTTTTATATTTTTATTTTGAGCTAACTAAATTTTTATAACTTATGGTTGTCTAACTATTATTAATCAAAATATCACTTCTTATTTTATATCATGTGGTGTGGACATGTCATAATGGATTATGACATTTGATTTTTCGCCACATTAATCTGCATCTTTCCTCTTTGCCATTTAGATATGACAATGTGGATTTTTTGCAACAGACCTTGTCTGATTTTCAAGATAAATGAAATTTTCACTTATTCAAAAAAAAATTAACAAGCTTAACTTATGGAAAAATCAAAACTATTTCTCGATGATTTAAGTATCAATTTATTAATTTAACATCGTTTGTCTTTATATATAGTTTATCTCTAACTTACTGCACTGGGAAACAAGTATATACCTTGTGTGTTTCCATCACTGAAGAAAGACTGTTATTTTTTAATACATAATAAAATGAGAAATAAGAGAGTTGCCATTTCCATCCTTGGATCTCAATCCTCTTAATACTCATTTCCTTTACATATAATTTATCTAACACAAGTGTAAATTGTTGATATTATAGTTTATATATGTTTTGGTTTCTTTGGTCTCTCGGTCCTTATGTTTTATCTGTCTAGAAACTGAGTTTCCTTTGGATTATAAGTTAAAAACACTCGTATTGTGCAAGAAACTACAATATGAATGTTGGACATTGACATCATTTAATTATTTTTTGTTCATTTTGGGAATGCAAAGACTGATTTCAGATTTATTGGAGAAAAGGCTAATCAAACAATCCTGATGAGTACATAGATTAGGAAAACAGAACAAATTATGCTGATTTGTATGACCTCAACTTCTGCATTATCTGTCAACCAAAAGAATAATGGGTAAAAGAGAAGCCTATCTTTTAAATGTTATTGTATTTTCAGTTCCTTGCCTTGATATTTTTAGCTCTTATGGGGAAAACATGAGCTCACTTTATGGATTAAGTAAAGCTTAAATGGGTCAAATAGTATGTAGCTGAAAAATGTCTTGAAAATTCATCTTTAGGAAAATTTAAATCATTAACTTTAATTGTACCTTTTTCTACTAATAAATCTCTTAAATTTGTATCAATATTTGTCCATTGACTTGGATGATAAATATTTTCAGGAATGCAATCATTTAAATTGATAGGCTAATCCTTTTCATCATGATTTCTACAATCATTTTGAATCTCTTCATTAACTTCTTGTTCTACTATTTCATCATCGTCTAACTCTCTAAGATTATTAACTTGTTCATTTAAAGGACATTCATTAATAATTTCTGATTCATTATTTTTATTACTTGTAAAAAATTTATCAAGTATTTCTTTTTGAGATTGTATTAAACTTTCAATTCTTTTTTTGTTTAAGCTTTGAAATAACTAGATTCATATTTTCAATTTGACATATTCAAATATTTATTATAAAGTACAAAAATATTTAGATATTATAATTATCTTATATTTTTTAAATGACTAATATAAAAGCAACAATCAAAATTTCTAATTTAAATAAATCAACTATCACTTAAAATAAAGACAACATAACAATATAATATAAACTCTAAATTAAAGTAAAAAAGCCTATAAAAATTTAAAAAAAATAGTACCTAATTGTTGAATACTTATTGTAAATAGCAAATGAGACTCACGGCTTTATAAAGATAATAACATAAAGACTTCTTATATATTCTTTGGAGTAAAATTGAAGTTAAAGGAAAAAAAAGTAAATGAAAAAATAAAAATTTAAAAATAGATATTATACATTGAAAAAAAAATTAATTTTATATATATAAGACAAAAATAGCTATTGAGAATTATTAAATAAATTAATTGAAAATAAAAAAATAAATTAAAATTATTATTATTATTATTATGTCTCGAGTTAGGTTTGGGCTTGAAAATTCATTCTCAGGATCCAATCGAGCTCGTAGGCTTGACAAGTAGCCCAAACCCAATTTAATTATACCCTTTATATAGCATTTCCATATCCCACAAGCAAAAATTATTGTTCTATACAGTGATGCGGTAATATTATTTATTCTTTTTCCTAATAGAAAATTGTTGTATTTCATGAAGTGAAATGTTTTATTCTCGTACAATATTTGCGTAATTTTTTACGTAACTTGCTCACATTGCGTCCGTATGATTATTTGGTTTTACAACTCGGTGATGTCACTTTTTTCCTTAAAGGAGGAGAGCTCCTTTTTGGATGCCATACGAAGACATGGAATTCGCAAGGAATCTATATTATTTATTATTACCGTGGTAGCTGCTCCTCTCCTGTCTCATTTATTGGCTGTTGTTGCGTGGTCGCTGTCGCATTCTATCCCGCTGCTATTCTCTGCATTTCTTTGTGGTGCCATTGCTGCTTCCTTCGGCGTTGTCGTTGTCTTCATATTTATTGCCCAATTGTGTTGTTTATTCTTGCTGATCTGGTTTCCGGGTTTGTCTGTCCACCCTTGCTCTCTGTCTCCCAGAAGCGGATGTACCCCTATTGAATTGACTTGATGTTCATTCGTTCATGTGGCTGCCACTTGTTGTGTAAGGAGGGGCTGTGCTCTTCTTCTGACGGTTGGGATAGATCTGCCCAACCCAGCTGTCCAGTTTACTCTTGGGTCGCTGTGCTTCTTGTCTGTGGAGGTTGGTTTTAAGCCATGAGTTTTGTCTGCTGTGAATGGCTATACTGCTGCCAGTTGTTCTAAAGTGTAAAGCTCTTTTGTGCGTGGAAGCCTTTATGGTCTGCTGGTGGAAAGTTATGTAGTTACTCGTTTGAGATGTGCTGTACCCCGTTTGGATTAATTAAATCTCCAGTTTGATCAAGCAATTTATATATAATAATAGTATAGATGAAGATATTATGCATGATTGTCTTCAAAATTCAAAAAACATGTCCTTAGTAGGTAGATTTCTTTTAATTAAATTCAAGGAGTGCATACCAACAAACATACTAGTTTGCAATGTCAAAAATTAATTCTATTAGAGTTGGAATATATAATCCTCAAAAGAGAACGTACGAGAGGGAACATTTCAGTTGCAGCGAGTCACCAGTTCAAGGCAAAGAGAAAGATTCAACTGCTTCTGAGTTGGAGGAATGACATGCAAGATAATGTATGTGAGAATTGTTAAATTTAAGAATGAGCATCCAACCGAAAATCAATAAATAATAACTACAAAGATTTTAATCATATTGTGTGTCTAAGATACCTCTAACTTAATCAATGTGAAATTTCTCATTTCACTTCTTCAATACTCTCGCTCACTTGCAAAGATGAAAGATTTATTACATGATATGAATTTCATATGTACGAATAACTCACCTATCACGTAATATGCACTTTGCACGTAAAAATCCATCTTTATATAAGAAGAAATGGATGATATTGCCTTTATCTTGAGTTGATGGCATAAAAACTAATACCTAGAATTCCTTTGGGGCAGATGGGAGTAATTTCCTTATTTTGGGAATATTGTATGCTGGATGAATCAATAGCCTTTTAGCCCTTTTCATTTTATGAAAGGGAGAAAAAAAAAACATATGCTGTACTCGAAATGAAAAAGGATAAATTCCCAATTGTTTAGGGCCCAAAGATTAGCTAAACCTTTAATCTTTTTCCTTCAATTAAGTTCTTTCTCTTTACCTTTTCAACTATTATTTCATTTTCATCACTTTCGTTCTATCAAACCATCCACATGAGCTATAGCCTTCAAGGCTAGGATTTCATATCCTGAATATTCATCTTGTACCTACAAGTATCCGACAAAGCATAGTTCCCATATTGAAGTCAAGTAATATCCCAATAATATCTTTAAAGGTTTCGATTTCGTAATGGAATAATGTTGACTTCCATAGATTTCTCTTCTCCGGCGGCAACCATTGATTTAAATGGCCCTGCTTCTGAGATTAGACATACGAGTCAAACGTTACAACCTTTGCTTCTTCGTTTTCTTTTTCTTCTTTTCTGATAGTTGTCAACCTCAAATCGGATTCATCTTGACAAATAACAATTCATTCAAATGGGAAAGAAGGAATGCATACAAACTAAAAAACTAAAAGGAACAAAGTTGGCATCTGTCAGCACATTGAATCTGCTACCAAGTTCTCCGAATATGAACTTTTGCCGTCAAAATTATGGTAAAACAGGTGCAATTTCTAACTTGTTTGCACCTTCAATTGCTGATATTGAAACTACGTGCATGTATTATATCCACATTCATGAAATGTTAGTTCAAAACCATGGGAAAACATTAACTGAAAGTTCTTCAAAAAAGCATAGAATATTCTTTGTTTTGCTGTCTTGTTATCAACTTAATTATTCCTTTCGTCTTTCTTGATAGATCGTATCCAAACACACTTAGGTACTTGAATATAAAAGTAATATATGAGAAAGATGGAGACTAATTAAATAAGGTAACCCAATAAATTTTAAAGTGTAAATGATAAAATAAAGTTAAGTATGCAGCATCAAAAAATTTATCCAATAAAAGGGTAAATAACTAATAGTACGTCTTTATATTCTATATGATTAATTTTTATATTATTTTATTTTTTTTATCGATTCTTTTGATTCTTGATATCATTGACGAATATATGCATCTATTTATTTTATATTGTAACTTTAAATTTGACGAAAAGCTGAATTTGCGAATTAAAAAATAAAGTACGAATAATCATAATGGTGTATTGATTATCATTAATCTAAAGCGTATCAAAGATGAAGCCTACACTATGCCACAAAGCAGCAAAAAGGGCGTAGTGTCTTTCAAGTGATTCTCCATTTTGGTTCCATGGACAATGGCTGAGCACTTTAGTGTGGCATCTGGCCACAGTAAAAATGGTATGCCTTGTCTGACCGACAGTTCAAGCAGAATCAGATTCTTAAGATAAAATTTACAAGCACGGAAAGTAGCAGCCAACCTAGAATTGTCAAGAATTCCCCAACTAGAACAAGAAAATATAGGCTTTCCTTGGCTTACATAAATATGCCATGGGATGCAGGTAAGTTCATCAGATTGCAAGAACAAATCATCAACAACTAATTGTACATAACATCTTCTCCACCCAGAGCTGATCTGAGTCCTTAGATTTTCTCATGGCAAATCACAAAAACCAAGATCAAACAAGTAACGACAAATCACCAGGTGGTCTCTTAACGCCACAAATATTGATCAATTCTTCTCTTTCGTTTTCAAATGCATGTTTCTTCTATGTTAGTCGGATTCGAATTCAATTTTGTTTAGATTTTTTCATATATTCGGAGAGTCGGATATCTATACTCATGTCTGATTCAGAGCAACATATATAATCTTTCTTTGTCAATTTTAATGCTGGGTTTTAAACTTATAGACTGATCCATAATTCTACTAACATGAATAACAGCATGTTGCCCTGTGACAAGAGACAAGGGCACGGGCAAGAACAGAAGCTTCCTTGAAGGATGGTGAGTCGTTCATTCTACCACCTTTAAATTACAAAATCATTCATTTTTTTCTCTCTATTTTTCATCATTAATTTTCAAAATTTTCCCTTGAAACGCAGTCTCTTTGCCTTGTGCTGCTGCTGGTTGTGGGATGCTTGCTTCGATCTGTAGAATAAGGGGCAGTCAGATGTACAAGATTACATCTAAAATGTTCATCTTGTTCGTTTAATAGTTATTTTGTACTTTGACGCGAACTTAAAACACCCCTGAGCCTTCGTTGCACCATATATATGCAGTTTTTTTTTGGGCTCAATGATAAATGCTTGTCTTATACATAGTTATAGTACTTTCTATCCTTGTAATTATACTTTTTTTTCATCCTTGCGATTGAAAGAAAAAGTATATACTTGTCTTATACATGAGTGATAATTAATAAAATCATACGATGTTTTGCGAGTAATTTATCAAATTCTTGTCTACCTGTTATTGAATTGGTATATATATATATATATATATTCAATGTTTGACAAAGGGAAATTCATGATGGTTTGAATTGTAAATGCCATGAAAAAGGGTAACAACATATGGGTTAACCTCTAAAATCTTTGAATTTCTTTTCGATCTGCAACATTATAAAAATTCTGCATTTTTTGATCATATGTTATTAATGGATTTCATACATGACATTTCGCGTAACTTTTTTTTTTTTTGTTAGTGTGCCTTGTGAAATGATAATCACATAAAGTAAAATTCAATCTCAGTTAATTATCAAAATTTTCAAATTTTTCAATCTATTTTGGTCACTAACATTTCAAAATTATCTTTTTAAATAGTAATTGCACAAAATGAATAAAAGTACTTTTATTCAAAAAAAATTTAATTATTTCATATTGTGCAGAATAACTAATATCAAGAAAGGATTAATAGTAATTATTCCGTACTTTTAAAGAATGATCATTCGTTAAAAATAGTCATTTTTTATTAAAAACGAATCAAATGAAAGTATAAAAACAGTGAGAGAAAAGGAGAGGGATGGCATAACTATTCCAAGTTATTCCATGTGAAATGTGACCTCCCAACAAGATAAAGTGCACATTATCCTTCTCCTCTTATCTTATCTTATCCTCCTCTCCCAACAACCACGTGAAAAGAAAAAGTTTCTTTCACACTATATGTTTGGGAATTAGGAAGCTTCATATCCCTTGTATGTACTGTCCAAGTTAAGAATATATTATTTCTTTTTACATAAAAATTTGTAGGTATACAATAAAAGAAAACAAAGACAGTCACGGAACGAAGAAAAGCAATGACCCCTTTTAACTTTCTGAAGATTCATACTTGTGTGTGCATTAGTGAGGGAGTCCACAAAAATACTTGTTTAATTTTATCTTCGAGTTTTGTAACTTTAAAAAGTTCATCCAATTTTGATCTTTGGATTTATTTTAACTATTTAGGGAATAACTCATCGGGTGAAACTTAATATATATATATATATAATAACTTATCCAATACTTTTGAGTACTCTCCATTGACAACAACAAAGTTTTATTGCTTTAGCCTTTTAAAATTTTAATTTTAAACTCAATAGAAAAGATACTTTCATGTGAGGAATACTTCTTATTGACATTAAATTTTCCATTCCAACCTTTGTTGTTAAAGACATTTAAATTGTGTTGCAAAGTCACTGATGAATGTCACGATGCTAATCCAAAAGCCACAATCGATCTTTACTTCTTTTTAAAGTAATCGAAAAAATTATTATTATTATTATTATTTATTATTGTTATTATTATATATATTAAAATATTATTATCGATGAAAATTTTATCGATAATGACATTTGACGAAAATTTCCGTTAAAATTGTTCTTATCAAAATCACTACTTTGTACCAAATCATTAAGCGAACGTCAATGGTCAAGACTTTAGAGGCGACGTCGATGTCAGTTAGGAGGAAGAGAAAGAGGAAGTAACGCAGCCTTGGCCTCCTCATCTCCCACGCACCACCGCATCCCAATCTCAACTCTCTTCATCCGAGAACTTCCTCCCTATAGTGAAGTTCTCCAACCTCGTCAACCCATCAAAGATCCGTTTCATGGTTATTCTTTCATTTTTGTGACACATGTTATGGTTGTTTTTGAATGTCATATGTGGCAGCTTAGTCAAAATCACATAAAAATAAAGAAAATAATAGAGATATGAGCATTTTAGTCATTTAACAAAATCTATTCACGATATTTTTAATTTTGAGAAAGTATCTATTTCTAATACTAATAGCAGTTGGGTTTATAGTTCTTATTTTTTGGCTGTTGTAAATGGAGTTAACTTCGAACCCAGTTGTGGTGGGATGATTCTAAATCGTGCTTGTTGGGGTTCTTCTTGTATGTACTAAGATGATGTATGAAGTGAGGATTGGTTAATATGATCCCTAATACAACCGCTTTAGGTTGTTAATAAGTTTTCACACATAGAAATGCACAAGAGAGGATCTCTGTCCTTAACTGCTGTTTTATTCCACTACTGCCTTAAAAGTAGCTTTTTGTAATGATTTTTAAGTAATGAAATCAATTCTTAAACATAGGTATAAATTATCCTTAAAAAAGAAAGGCAAACACTAAATTTGAAGAAGAAAAAAATGTAATGTCAGGGCTATGTGTAAGGCTAGCAACCACATAGTAATTAAGTAGAAAATTTTCTTAATAGCTCATGACTTAACTATAAAGATCAACATATTGGCAGACAGTCCAAGCACGATTCGCAAGAAACGAAGAAATTGAAATGACTCCTGTAGTTGGTACTGCTTTTCATCCCCATCGCAGGCAGTCGACCAAGGCTGCTGGTTGGTTCAGAGAGAGAGGCAGCTAAGTCTAGTGAGAGAAGGAAATGAGAAAAAAATAAGGTAGAATTTCATTGATTATTTTATAATATATAATTTTAAAATAATTAAAATTTATTTCGTTTATAATTTATCTATAATTTGTGAATAATAAATAATATTACCGACATAGGGTATAAAGGGTTTGTGCAATCTTAGAACCCAATCGTATCTTATGCTCTTGTGTCAGCAACCATCTATAAAGAAAAAGTCTCTTTCACACTACCTTTGGGAGTTAGGAAGCTTCCTACTCCTTGCCCCATAACCTTTCACACTATGTACTGTCCAAATTAAGAATAAATTTTTTTTTTACATAAAAATATTTTGTATTTGTTTTAACTATTTCAATTCTTATCATTTTTCATTAATATATATTATATAATTACTTAATTTTTTAAAAAAATATATAGATAAATTATACAATTAGTTATTATACTCTAAACAAATATAAATTTTAATTTTTGTATAATAATTTATGTAAATTGAGTTCTTATCTTTTTCTAATTTATCAATTTCAGTATCCAATTCTATTATCGATAAATTTTCATCGTTAAATATGTTAACGTGACATTTTAGTCAAGTTGATGTGATTTTTTTTTTTTTGACATGACATTGACTATGTGCTAATAAAATAAAAACATTGATGGCACATGTTGATGTGGCAAAAAAATTGATGTGGTAATTGTTGCAAAGATTTTTTTGAAATTACTCCTAAATAAAAAATAAATGTTACAAATTCGTTGATGAAATGATACAAAAGATTAATAAACATATTCACAGAGTTTTTTTTTTTTTTTCAAGGAGTGTAATTTCATTGCAAATACAGGAATCTGTACAGAAGTCTCCCAATAAGAGGAGAGACAGCCCAACGCTTGTAATAACAAAAAAACTAGGATGGCCGCAAAAGACCTTCACACAGAACCGATTGCCTATAAGAGCCATATTCACTCCTACTGATTGGCAACAAGAAATCAGAGCCATTCCCACAGGCTTGAAGTTTGGAGCATCTTTAGCTTCAACCTAACATAACCGTTCCATCAATTTTCAAAAAAAAAAAAAAACCATAACCCTTCTACCCAGGAGCCTCCTTATGGAATGACTCCTCCAAAATTTTAAAATTTTTTTACATACTAAATAAATTTTTTTAATTTTTTTTATAAATTTTCTCAATCGCCCCCCTCCCAAAATAAATTTTGATTTAATAATTAATAAAAATAAAGAATAACAAAAACATTTATATGCTTGTCTCAATTTTAAAGTTTTTTTATTTTTTAATTTATATTATTATTTATATTTATTTATTTATTTCTATTCTATTTATTCATATGTTTTAAATCTCTATATATTTTCTTTCACAAATTTATATGAACTATCAATCATATTTTGTTTTTTTCTTTTTTATTATATCATATGCGGATTCTATCTTCTATTTATCATGTTCTTCTTTTTTCTATAATGCGGATTTTATTTTTAATGATTCCAATCTTTAAAAATAAATAAATTATTATGTTACATTTTTGTTTAATATAAGTTACATTTTTGTTTAATACTTGCTCCAATCTTGCTCCTCGATGGTTCTCCCTTCATTTATGACCATTTGAACTTCTTTAATACTTGAGGACAATTTCTAGCTGTTAAAAACAATTTTGAAATAAAAATAGCCGTTATTTTGTCTTATAACTGTTTTTTCCAAATTTACTGGTAGTTTCTCATTAATCAGTTTAAAGTGAGCTTAAACTAATTAAAGCTTTTCCATCTCACAATCTGCTACACTGTACTAACTAGTTAAAGATGGCTTTAACCAATTAAGAACATTCTGTTTTCTAACTTCTTCCAGCTAGCAAACTTCCTTTAATTGGTTAATCCTCACTTTTAACTAATTGAGACTTCTCTTCCTTCAACTTTAGTTGGTTGAAATAAGTGTTAATAGATTAAAATATCTTCAAATTTGAATTCCTTCATTTGACTCCCTTCCATTGGTCAACTTTATTTTAAATTTGAAATTGGACACTTTTTAGTACTTCAAGTTTAACCTTTTATTAATTAGCCCTTTTGGTTAACCAATTAATAATTTTTAATTTTGCGTCTAGTACCTTCTTAATTAATTAAGTCTTGTGTTAACCAATTAAGACATTTCTACTTGTCTTTAGTGTAGTGTTCAGAATTACTTTAACTGATTAAGAATCTATGCTAATCGATTAAGACTAATCTATCTTCATTAGAATTTTTTCTTTTTTATTTGTTTAACCAATTAACCCATCTTGCTATTGAACAAGTATCTTAACTAGCTTTTAAATATCAAATATATTAATGTATTTAAGCTTTCTTCTACACATTTAAATAATATGATTAGACACTAATGAATAAGAAATGTTTTATTATCATAAAAAACACATGAAATCAACACTTCACTTTCATGATTTTCAAAGTAGAGAAAGGAAATCTCTTTCTAACAAAGATACCACAAAGATAGAAAAAAAAAATCTCTTCCTTTTCTTTTTCCTTCTCTAAAATCCCAATCCCAATTCATTTTGCAAGCACCTTTAGATAAAATAAAGTAGAGACTCTGATTAGATAGACCCACTTGTTTTCCAA